AGCACAGTCCGCCTTAGATCATCCAGACCTTCCAAGGAGAATGAACATACTGTTTTCTTCTCGAGTGTCTCGATATATTCTCGAAAACACCTGCATCACCTGTCGTCCCGTTGATCATCGACTTCCTCGAGCGGGCGCCAGTAACTTTTCCATTCGTCCCTGTCACGAGCCAGAGTGGTCCAGTGAACCGTCCTCGCTTCAGGGACACGAGGTTCAACATTCCTTTCGTTCAGAGCTTTCGTGAAGAAGTCTGACTATTTCGTTGGCGGCCTTCCTGGAGTTCGTTTGATGTCCCGAGGGATCCAGGGATATTCTCGAAATAGGAAGCTTATTGTTAAAGACTTTTCTGCCTTATGATCATTACCAATCATGCAAGTACGCATAAAACCAATGAAATTTCTGTTCACGACCTTCTAATAAAAAAATTTAGGAGACGACCCATGACAGAGATGATGAAGATATATCGCTAGAGTTCGAAGAAGAAACAACCACTCACAGGTGGGAAGATTTAAAAGGCTCTTCAGGTGAAGTCTCATGTACCCTTCCAATGCTTGCATATCCTTCTAGACCTCGTCGATCTACAACGCCTGTTCCTCTACCACGACAGAATCTCTTGTATACGATATTTCCCACTTTGCAAAAAGAGAACGATTATAGACGGTAGGCGAAGTTGTTTTGTTGCTCGTCACTCACAGATGACTACTCAAAAATAAAAATTCTAGTTCTCAAAGCTTTCCGGCTCTATTGTGATCACTTTGGCCCCACTGACCACAACAACAAATCCGAAAGCCTTCCAATAACATGAATATCCCAAAACCCAACTCGCTGCGATCCGATTCCCACTATGTTCGATTCGATTTATTTAACAGTTCTCCACAGCCCAACAGAACAACTCGTTTCTTTGAAATTTAATATGGTTACCTTTGCCTGCCTTCCAATTAAAGATCCATACCCTAAACTGACATCGACAAGTCCGCCCAGTTCATAGTGTAGGCCAGTGGTGCCGCCATCCAATCCGCATGGAAGTCTAATGCATGGCGCAACTACAACCATTACTTGCCCCATCTCTTGACTGCTCATTTTTATTCCACTATTCATATTACGGATTGTTGTCGGTTTTTACCTCGGAGCTCCATTAGGCTAATGAATATATAAAATGACTAGAAGCTAGAAAAAAACACGCTTAAACCCTGGCGTTATTCAATCTTGATCGGGAAAGTCTCCATACATTCTGAAGGGGGAGAAGCAGATACAATAATACCACAAACAAGCAAACACCATTAGCTTTGAGGTTTTCAAAACCACCTAAGGCACATACTGCAAAGGTGGTTATTCAGATACTGCCCCGTCAACCAGTACACATTCCAAACCACATGCTTACCAGGAAAGAAGTTGCGGTATGACCTCCAGGTGAGATCTTTATAGGTACTTTCTACGTCTCTTTTCGGGTAATCTTCCCAAATCTATCAAACTGCTGTGACCTAGTCTGGTCCTAAAATGGGCTTGAGGACTCATGAAAAGTGTGGATAGAACTTATAACCCACTATAGCTTTTGCGGTTCGACTGAATGGATCAACACTAGTGCTGAGAAAGGACAGTATAGAGAAGTATAGAGAACAGTATAGAAAATTGGTCAAAAACATATTCAGATCTTCTGTCAAGAATTTTCCGAGAAATGTGGAGTGCCAAATGTCAACCTATTTCCAAGCCGCCGTTCCAGTCAAACAGATGATGGCCGTCCGAAGGGTTATGGACAAAAACAACAAAACGGCCAGCTTGGACTTGGAAGAAGCTTCGGCTTCGGTTTAGGAGCTATACCAGGTGAGATTCACTTCCATTTCATTTGCACACACCTGCATATTTTCTTTATTATTGAATACAAGGTTCATTGGATTAGACGCTTACTGATAAGCAGGGAGTATTTCAGGGTTCGAAGTTGTGAGCAGTCAAGGGACAGATATCGGAAACGGAAACCTACCATTCCTCAACCAGGTACAATTTTAATGATAATCTTAATCATAGGGTAAACTGATATTACTGGGCAGGGTCAAAACGCGCCATACAGGCCACCCAGCAACCAGGTTATCGCGAGGAATTCATGCCGCTGATAGCGCAGCGACC